CCCCCCCCTCAGGACCCTCATAATAATTATTATGTATAATACATATTGGTTTATATCTAAAGCTTGCAAGGAAATATTACAAGCAGCTATAAAGGAACAAGAGAAAATACAGAACTATACTTTTGCATCATTGTAGGTTAACAATGGTTCATTAGCTACAGGGGAGACCAGGTTGACAAAAAATATACAGCTTCTCTCACAATTATAATCAAGTAACTATTTTATTAGCTGCCTTTTTTAGCTGTTTTGATTTTAAAACTTGTACAGACCTACTTTGTAAACAAACAATTATTGTATATAGAAATGTTTTCAAAACCCAGTCATTTTTCCCCCGTCACAAGATGTATTTCACCAACCTGGTCAGCCCACAAAATCTGTTTGTTAGGTATAACATAGCATGGTGACGTTGTTAGTATACATTAACACATTGCAAATCGTGGTACCACTAAAAAACGTAACTGATATTTAAAGAAGTTCTTGTACAGTTGAAGGAATCACCAGTACCACCCAAATACAGTCATAAACTGCTATCAATATGTTGTTTGATAATGTGGTTTGCACTCTGTTTAACTACATAGTGCCATTAATTAAAGAGGGCCTCCCACGGGGAAACTATATTGTCATTCAGAGCTAAAGTTATCTTGAGTAAGCGGGCCTCATATTTCAGCTGAACGCTAACCCTGAGAGCTAAATATTGAATTTCTTCAGCTCTTCAATTATATAAACAATAGCCTCCATTTGGCGCAAAAATATGCTAGGATATTTGTCTGCAGACATTATCTGTTCCAAGAAGCGAACAGTTTTCCGAGAGCATAGCTCGAGCAAAACTTTGAGCTTCAAGGAACAGATAATGTGCAAGGACAATTATCCTAGCATATTTTTGCCCCAAATGCAGGCTAATGTGTTTATTATTCTTCAAATATTTTTTGCAACGCGCGCAGTGTTTTAGTTGGGCAATATTTGGTCATGTGACGTGTTTAGACCAATCGCGTGCGAGCGAAAATATTTGATAGAACATGTATCTGTTTATGGGCTGATCAACACACCTGTAAAATAATATTGCCATTTCCTGTAAAGAAGTCCTCGCAGGGTTTGGACTGCTTGCTTGAACGGACTTCGGTGACAGCAATGAGTCATAATAGATGTAATAAGCTTGCATAAGTTAGGCTACTGATTACCAGGAAAAGACATAGCCCACTTACGTTTCTCTTACCTATCAACACTTTTTCTCGACGGTAACACTTATTTTACCATTGTGGTAAAAAGTGGCAAAAACGTACGATTGACATGCCTTTAAGTTACATGTAAACTTATGTTTGTCTCGCTGTAGTCCTTCTTTACTGAAGTATCAAAGTCCTTTGGAATTAGTTTCCATGCCATATTGATAGGATTTTGTGTTGGCACGTAGCCTACATGAGATTTTACCACATTAATCTGAACAGTGGAAATCTAAAGTTAAGTCATCCAAATGGAAATATTCTTCGCGGCCAGCCTGGCGTTGTCTCCACTGGTCTTCTCTGAGCTGGTGTACATCCTCCTGGCGCTTTATCTCCTTACACACCCTGCATTTCTGTTCTCTTTTTCTCAGCTGTGTTGCACTGAATTCTTTTCGTGGAAATCGCCGATGGCAGCGCGTACATTCAGTGTTAGCAGCAGGAAAATCTAGAGTTCCTTTATCAGGAATTATGTCAAGAGGTAGATACGCGTTCAATTCATAGTTGTCGAAAGACCGTTGTGTTTTGCCTCGATACAGATCAACATACTTCTCGGATGAAACTCGCAGACGAGCCTGTTCTCCACCATTGACATCCTTCATCTCGCTGTACAACCTGAACATCGCCACTGTATCCACAATACAGTACTGGATAAGATCATCCGTCAGGGGTCTCTTTGTCCACACTTCAACGTCTTTCTTTAACAGCTCCTTTCCCTTGTCGTTTATTTTGACTAACTTTTCATCCTGGAGGTACAACTCGATGCAACGACCAAAACCATATATCTTCTCCACTTCATCTGTTC